AATCGAGTAAGACACTTTAAAAACCACGTCATTTAAGTGAAAACCACGGCTAGCCAAGTTTTATGCCGTTGAATGATTTTTGTCAAACGACCAAAAGCGAGAGATGGTTTTCAAGGTGTTTTTGTTGGAGAACCGTTTAAACATGCCAAAGAGTAAAAACCAATCATAAAAAGTTGAAAACCACTTGGTTGGTTCGGACGCCAAAAACCATAGCCGATAACCGAGAGCCGAACGCCAGTTTCTGAAACCCGAACGCTGGATGGCTTGGTTTTTGGTTTGGGCGAACACCAAGTGTTTTTAATGACTTAAACATGTTTGAAAAGCATTTTTATGATTTAAGAAGTGCAATGAAGGTTTTTAGCCTAAAGAGCCAAGGTGTAAAGATTGGGTCGGTCTTGATCACAATGAAGACCGACTCAACGACACTAAGACTAAGGTCTTCGTTCTTGGTCTTCTTTTAGCTCTTGTTCTTGTCTTCCTTCTTCGCCTTGTATATTCAAAGTTTGACTTGATCACGGCGGTTTGGCATTATCAAAACCTGTCATAAAAACAAACACGGCTTTAGTACGAAAACGTGACATGCCCGTGTTTCAACACCTGTTCCTACCGTTCCAAGAGATCCGGGGAAAGATGAGAAACGGAGGAACGAAGGAAAAGTGGATCTGGAGAAAGACGGACAGATAGTATATGAGGAAGAACCACTGAGAGAATCGCCACAAGAGTTATTACAGGTACTACCTAAATCATATGCTGAAGCAGTGGGCGATAAAGAGGAATTGGATTGTAAACTGCATTTTATTGCTGCTATTGAACATAATGGATGCAAAATTGCAAAAATGACGAAGGATGATATAGTGGAAACATCCTCTTACTGGGAAACTGCAATACTGATGTGTATACTAGGTGCAAATCCTCCAGTCGAGGTTGTCGAAGGATTCGCTAAAAGGATATGGAAACATGCAGATATTCTGGATGTTACTATGCTCAAACCTGGGCAATTTGTGTTTCGATTTGGTAGAACTGAAGATACTGAGGAAATTTTGAAGAAAAGTTACTATTTCTTTGATAACAAACCAGTATATGTGAGGAAATGGCAGCCAGGAAGTAGGGTGAACCTAGATGCTCTGACTGATATACCCATATGGATCCAACTGCCAGATCTGGATCCCAAATTTTGGAGCATCTCTGGCCTAAGCAAGATTGGAACCCTTATAGGTAACCCAATTAAAGCTGACAAAACAACAATTGGGAAAACCAAATTGAATTATGCTAGAATACAGATAGAGGTTGGTATGAAGCAACATTTTCCTGAAGAAGTACAGTTTGAAGATGATAAAGGAAGGATCATAACACAGATTGTGAAATATGAGTGGTACCCTATCTCATGTAATCACTGTAAAGCAATTGGGCATCCAGAAAATTTGTGCAGGAAGAAAACAGGTGAAAGGAAAAAGATGGTATGGAAAAGAAAAGATATCCCAAATAAGGAAGAAGAAGCAAAAGAAGAGGGAAAGGAAGAGGTACAAAAAGAAGAAGAAGACAAAGCAATACCTGCTGATAAGGACTTGGATACTGTAGAGGAAGAAGGGGAATTCACAGAGGTCAGTAAGAAGAAAGCTAATAGGAAACTATATCTGGAAGACCAGGAATATGAGAAGGCTTATGGTATTCAGATACATAAATCCTTGATGGAAGGCCCTTATATGGGACACTATCCTTTCTTATCATGATAAGCTGCTGGAATATAAGGGGGCTTAATAGCCCAAATAAACAAGTAGAATTAAAACGCTTTATTAATAAAGACTCTATTGCTCTGATGGGAGTTCTGGAGACCAAAATAAGGCAGGATAGGTATGCCAAAATAAAGGAGAAGTTCCTAGAAAACTGGGAATACTTTATTAATAATGAGTATCATCCCCTCGGGAGAGTCTGGGTTATATGGGATAAGAGGAAAGCTGAAGTTAACATACTAGCAGCATGTGACCAAGCAGTTCATTGTAGCGTCAGATGGATAGGCAAAACTCATACTGAGGATGTTACCTTTATCTATGGGCACAATGATAATGGAGCAAGGAAGAGCTTATGGCAGTTCTTACAGGGCATGTATGCACAGACTAGTGGAGCTTGGTGCTTAATGGGGGACTTTAATACTATACTTGGAACTGACGATAGGAAGGGTGGCCTGCAAATTATCCTGGAGGAAACTTTGGATTTCAGAGAATGCATAAATTTCTGTGAATTGGAAGAAATCCCTAAAGAAGGAGCCTACTACACTTGGACAAATAAACAAATGAGAGAGAACAGAATTATATCAAAGTTAGATTGGGCTTTTGCAAATAATGAATGGCTGATCAACAATAATGCAAAAACTAGAGTGTTGGAGGAAGGTATATCTGACCATTCACCGCTTATCTTAATCCCAGTGGATTATTCATGTGCCAAAAAGATCTTTAGATTTTGTGACATGTGGATCACAAACCCCGAGTTCCCTAAGATATTGAAGGATGTCTGGAACTCTAATATAGAAGGAAGGAAGATGTATCAGCTTACCCAAAAGCTAAAGATGCTGAAACAACCTCTGAGGAAACTGCACAGGAGGAAGTTTAGTAATATACAAGATCAATGTGATTTGGTGAGAGAGGAAGTAGCTAGAATCCAAAAGGAGCTGAGGAATGATCCTTTTAATACCACACTAATAACAGAGGAGAGGAAACTGATTGCAGATTTTCAAATGAAATCGAAGAACTCTCATAAAATGCAATGCCAGATTATGAAACAAACTTGGATCAAAGAGGGCGACCTGAACTCTAGAATGTTCCATGCCTGGATCAAGAAAAGAAAGATTCAAAATCATATTGGATGTATTTACAACAATAAGGGGGATAGGATTGAAGACACTGAAGGGATTGCTGGGGAAATGATAAGATTTTTCCACCAACTCCTAGGCACAAAGAATCAGGTAGAGGAGATTGACACAGAGGTTATAAGAGGGGGGAAAATCCTGA